AGAGCGAGTTCTTGCATAACGTACTGACCCGCCAGTGGACGCTCAGCACTAGTCAAACGCCGCACACCCAGCAGACACAGGTGCCGGACCCTAATTATCCCAGTTTTAGTGAGAAATTGTGTCCGGGAGGCGGTTTCGGTCAGTAGTTTGATGTTTAAAATTGATGTAAACTTGGTTTAAATTATGAAATTGCTATCGTTTGCTATAAAGGGCCGGTATCTGACACGGGATATGGCGTCTCCTACATGTTCCCAAACAACAATCGCATGTTTTTTCACATCTCATCCAAGAAGTCGTGTCCGACAACCGATTCCTCACGTTTCGCTAATTATCTCAATGACTGCGCGCAACAAATCCGGACTCTGTTTGACAGCTAATTGTGATATTCAAACAAAAAACGGCTAAACCTTCGACTCCTGGACTATATATATATTCTGGGCTCACATGTAGGGCTCATTCGGTGCTCTCCTTATTTAAAACTATAAATTATTTAATTCCTAATATATTTTTTTGTATAATTAATAATAAAATTATTTAATTCAAAATACCGTTGACTTTAATTGTAATGAATTGGTTTCGTTTTGATAAATAACAATGAAATAGCAAGTTGCTAGGTAAATTTACTATACCTGTTAAGTTATAACAGTACACTATATGCTCGAAGAATTAACTGAAATACAGAATATTCCGCTCAATCGGTTGAATAGCATGAGAGGGAACAGTAGCTGGCGATGAATGGAGGCTAGCATTGCAATGAAATAATCAACAAAACAGTTTTCGTATGAAATAAATAACTTTTATTTTGAAATTGTGGTCACATTTTCTCCAAACATATTGATTGACTAATTGCTATAAAAAATGCAAAAAACAATCCGAGAATTGATTGCTTAGGATATATATAGAGAGATAGAGAGATACAACAAAAATGAGTTTTAATATTAAACATAAACTTTTAAAAACTATGTTATAATTTATCTCAAAATTATATTACACATCCATTAGTAAAAGTCAATAGTTTTAATACAATTTAAGACAAAAAACCTATTTTTGTATATAAAATGAATCGGTGTTTAAGAGGGCTGCAAAAACTTGACAAAATTTTTTTATTACAATTCTATACATTGATTACAATTGAATAAAAGTTTTTTNTCCATTAGTAAAAGTCAATAGTTTTAATACAATTTAAGACAAAAAACCTATTTTTGTATATAAAATGAATCGGTGTTTAAGAGGGCTGCAAAAACTTGACAAAATTTTTTTATTACAATTCTATACATTGATTACAATTGAATAAAAGTTTTTTTAGTAACGACTCGTTTGATTGATTGCATTTTGTATTCTCGATAACTATACGAAAGTTTTTAATATAAAATATCAAATTTTGAGAAAACTATTTGTTTTGTTTTGTATTATGTTTTATGCTATCATTTTGTTGTCAAAATAATATCCAATTCCCACTACTATTCGTTGTGACACTCAATACGTAACGAGAAAACGATTTTACAAAAACATATTTCAAAATAAATTTTATGGGAAAACAGCGAAACGAAAAGGAGAGAGAATTTCAAATTAGTTATGAATTTGTTTTAAAAAAAACTTATAAATCGGTGACAAAGGGTTTTTTGGGGGCAAAGTATATATATAATTATAAATATTTTTGTGTGTATTATTGCAAAGATTTGTTTTTAAACACATAAATAGCTAAAGCTTTTTATCAGGTGTTGTCATATTTAGTCATTTCGTATGTAATACTAATTTCTTTGTCTAAAACTTTTTTAAAGTCTTATTTTGTGGGCAAAGAAACAGAAACCAAAAAAAATCTCAAAACAAATACTCAGAGAGAAAAACAATTTGATTTAATAATAAATTTTTGGCGTAAAAAACAGATCAAGTGTTTTATTAGGTGTGTAATCATAAACACAACAGGGAGAAAAGGGTAGAGAAAAACTTTTGTAAAACAAAAAAGTCTATAAAATTCACAAAAACAAAAACTTAAGTGTATTTTATATCGGTCTCTACTAATGAGTAGAAAAAAAGGAGTTTTATATTTCTTTAAAGACAAAAATCTTTAGACAAATAACAAGAAAATAATGAAACAAACAAAAAAATAAAGTAAACATAAATTGAGATAAACATGTGTTTTTGAGGTCGAAAATAATGTCGAGTATATCAACACAATTGGGCATACGATACACCATTACACCCCCGTTAACGGCGGGGGGGGGGTGGGGGGGGGGGGGGGGGGGGGGGAACGGTATGCGTGTATCTAATATGGGTGATGGGAGGGGAAGGGGTAAAGGGGAAAGGGAGAGAGAGGGATATCGAAAAGTAAGTGCTAAACGTCTGTAACATATATCACAAAATTAAATTGAGATAGAAATCAAAAACACACATTCAGTACACGTGTAGTCAAATCGGTGTTTCATATCATATGTCGTGTGTCTGTGATTCACATTTGCATAATAAGTCTCTATTGAAAAAAACCATATGAAACCCCATTCGTAGGCTTTCCTCTTAAGCGAAGTCTCTTTTTTTGCACAAAACAAATGGGAAAACAGTTTTTTTATTTCAAATATTTTGTCGCATATATTCTGTTCGTCTATTTTTCAGTACATTTTTCTCTTGCGATGCGATTCTGACGAGAATTTGACACAAAAAATGTCAGATTTGTTGAGCAAAAGGCACGATCACTATAATAACCACACATTCCTCTCTGTGTTTAACCACTCATTCCTTAGGCACCACTTCCTCACACATAAACATATCCAACAGATTCCTAAACCATTATTACTGATCCATCACTCGTATTATTATTATTATCAATCAAATTATTAATACAATTATTATTATTATTATTACAACTAATTCGTTAATATAAACAACAATTTTTTTATCACAATTTGTAGCAAATGTTTAATGTCTCAGAAAAAAATCCGTATTTCAATCAATTATATAGTTATGAAAAAAAATTGTCCATAAATTGTAAACAATATTTCGTTTTCTTTTAAGAGATCACCGAAAGGTATTTATCGCAAGAAATTCCTATTATTAGTTCAAAATGTAATGTCTTTTTTTGTTTTATGCATTAATCAAATAAGTTAAACAATTAATGACTATATTTTAAACAACGATTACACGGCGTGTGTGTTGTGTCTGTGAAAGTCAGTCGTATAAGTCTCGGGGGTTTGAGATAATCGCTGTTTTTGTTGAATTAAATGAGAAATTAATTTCACTTTTTAAACGATAAGTGTTTTTCGTGTGTTATTTTCACTTATACTTCAATGACTAGTCATTTCGCATTTTAATCACTCGTTTTGTTTGCAAATTTTGTTTTATATCTAATTATAATTAATAAACGTATGTCTAAATCGAGAAAACAATTGTCTATTTCCTCTAATAATCGTCAATACGGTTGAAAGCAAATCAATGAAAGTATGGGTTCTTTTAGTCGACAACGGAACTGGCGATTGGAATGCCTTTTAAATAGACTATAATAATAATAATGATGCGAACTATTTGTGAACCATTTGGTGATTGCCGGGCGTCAGCGGCGGTGTGAGCGGTGAGCCGTAGCCGCCGGGAGCGCCCGAGTTGTTGGGAAACGCGTAGATCTGGACGCCGTTCACCATTTTGGTCACCATTGGGGGTTGACCACCGGCGCCCACACCCATACTGCCATTGAGCTGACACTGTTGTAGTTGTTGTTGCTGGTGGTGGTGCTGCACCGGCTGAACCACATTCACCATCGGCTGGTGATTGTATGGCATAGTGTGGTATCGGTTGTGTTTGACGAATGGCAGCCCCTGTAGGGCGTAGCTGTTGGGCACCGAACTCTGGTGAACCGTTTGGCACTCGTTTTCGTACGAATTCGCGTACGAATTGGCGTTCGGGTTGGCGTTGGCGTACGGGTTGTGTCCGCCACCGACGCCCCCTCCGCCTCCATTGCCCCCTTTGAACCGATTATTGGCCGACGAGTTGGTGACCGACTTTCTGTAGTGATGATGACTAGCGTTATAACTAGAGTTATTACGTCTGTCCGGCCTGTCCTTAACGGTCGACTGGCCGACACCGGCGCCGTTGCTTTGCTGCTGCGGTTTAGCCGTCGTGTGATTGTATTGGTAGCGATTGGGCGCCGGCTTTTGCGACGACTGAGTGTTTGGCACGTTTTGCGCCCAAATCGGCACCAATTCCAGCACCGGTTGCGACGAGTTCTGAGTGGCGGCCATCACCTGTCCATTGTCCGACATGTCGGACCCTCTGTGGTGGTGGTGATGGTCTGTCTTGAGCTGAACGTTCTGCACGCATGCCATCGATTGACTCGAATGGTTGGCTATATTTGGCGAAATGGCATAAACGGGTGATTGGAGTAAATTCAGTGAAGACATGCCGCTGTTGATGGCGTTCACGGCGTTAGTCATGTTGTGGCCGCCGTCGCCCGAACCCATCATCGAATTGGCGACACTCGTCACCTGCAGGGGAAGCGATGAGGTCTGACTCAATGGCGGTGTAGTTGCCGACGACATGTGGAGGTATGGATTCATTTGGTTGACATTCTGTGCGACAGACATATCGTTAAGTCTTAAGGGTCTGTGCGGTAATGACTGTTAATGACTACAAACCTGCGAATTGAGAGGTAATCGATAGGGAGTGGCGAGCAATGGGTAGCCGGCGGCGGGCGGGGAGGCGCCGGCAGACGTCTGGAATTGTGGGAACTGCTGAGTGGCCAGCGATGGCTGAGTGGTCGCCAGGTATAGACCCGACGGCGTCTGATATGTCGTATAGGGATATGAGGTCTGCGGCGACGACACGCCACAGTTGGCCATCAGCTGACCGGCCGCTCCCAGATTGTAGACCGGAATGCCGTCCGACGTGTAGACGATCTCCGGGTACAACGTGTTGGACGCGGCGTTCACTATAGAGTAGGGGCTGTATATGAAAGAGCCGTTCGAATGGTTCCGCACATTCACGTCTGCGAAAGACATCGTATTCATTGGTAAGCATTTGTCACGCGCTAAGAGATCCGCTGATAGCAAACCATTGCTGAAGTGTTGCTGCTTTTTGATGGCCACAGAGATGTTGAGTTTGCGGTTCTTAATCAACAGATTGTCGCTCTCTTTCATCACTCGTTTGGCGTCCTCTTCGGTCTCGTATGTCACGAATCCATAGCTATTTTGGCAGACAATCAGTTCATACCATTCATTGGGTTTCATAAATGTGTGATCATTGAAGGCATACCCGCGCGGAACGCCGGCCCTATCGTTGATAATCTTCACGGAGACAACGGTTCCGAACTGCGAGAACAGATTCTTCACTTCGCTTTCCTTTGCCTACCGATCGAGCGATCATTAAGACAAACGTTAAGACAATTCAACGAAACGAATGGTAAATATGAGTGAAAAAAAATAATACAAACATCGGTTGGAATTCCTCCGACAAACACACGGTTCGGAACTGATAGTCAAAGACAAGAATAAATGAGACAACCGGAAGAAGCGATACGTCACACACGCGAGGATCAGCTCGTGGTGACGATCAGCAACAGGACTGCGGTCGATGTCATACCTGGAGTGCCATATTTGGGTGCATTCAACGAGTTCTTGTTGGTGTCCATCGACGGCGACACCGACGACGACTTCGTGGTGTCGATGACGGCCGCCGGCGACGGGTTCTGCGAGTCGTTGTTCATCGGTGACGAAGAGGTGGTGGTCGGCGAGGAGGACGAGCTGGACATCTGCTGGCGATGGTTAGCGTCCGCCTAATCAACGACAACAAAGAGTGGACACATGTATAGCACGAGTGGACACAACACCACAACACACACGATATGATCGACACATGTCTTGAGGCGGACATTAGCCTCAAGACATGTGTCGATCAACTGTGTTATTAATACTCATATCATTGATACTAACCATCGATTTCCATACAAAAAACAGTGCCTGAGATCCGATGCGGTGATAGTGTTTGCGAAATGAGTGGAGTTTTGGTTTTTTGCGATAACAAAACTAATAAACGATTAATTGATTTGAGAAATGATTGTATCGTTAAATACAACGGCTTTCAGTTCGCACTCATAATACGGTTAATGAATGTAATAATCAAATGCTATTCATATATGAAATCAAATG